GCAAAGGGTGTGACTGAAACACTTGACCTCGAAAATTAGGAGAGGTGCACACGTACTTACTCACCATATACTCACCATATAGTGTATGCATGTGTGTATATATGCGTGTAGCGGCTGGAAAACTTCCAAGTACTCAAAGTTTCTAAAGCAAACAAAGTACTTCGGTATGTATACAAAGAGAGATATATGTGTAATATCAGTCATGTAAATTTTTGACTTATTGTAAGTGAGTTTGCATCACAGCGATTTGAATGAACAGAAGAGGGGTAGAGGTGTGCATAGGTAAGAAGAAGGCAGTAAAAGGATCCGTGCATGGCATGTTATTAAGAAAGAGCAGTGTTCTGTTTTGATGTATGTTTATAAGAGTCAGCAGTGTTTCAGAATGAATTAGTCTGTTTGTTTAACAAACCTGACTGGGTGAGTCTGCATGTAGTCAAATAACACATGAAAAGGAGGGTTTATTTTATTTCTGTTTGTCTTTTCACCATTCATTTTTTTTTAAATGGAAAGCATATTCCATATCTTACGCATATCAAAATATTCTAAACATTGCAGTGGTGGACGTAAAGTAGAACATTTCTGTTTGGTTAAAAGAAATAGAAATGCGTTCCCACATCAAGCCTCAGTTCCAAAAGAGTTGGGACAGTGTGTGAAATGCAATTAAAAACTGAAAGCAGTTATTTGTAAATCCACTCTGAGCTGTATTTAACGAATATAGTGCAAAGAAAGATAATTAATGCCCTGTCTTATCAACTTCATTGTTTTTTTTTGTTTTTTTTTTTGTAAATATGAGCTCATTCTGAAATTGTTGCCTGGAATACGTGTCAAAAAATTGGGACAGGAGCAATTTAAGACTGAGAATGTTGTGAAATGTTCAAAAACATCTTAAACAGGTTATTTAAAGTGTATTTCAAAAGAGCGTCCAGAAAAGGCCGGGTTACATCACCAAAAAAACTTGAGATGTGAGCCAACAGTTTAAGAACAATGAGTGTGTTTACGTGCACTCTGTAATCTGATCATAATCGGATTTCTGTAGTCATCTGATTATTCAAATGGCCATGCAAACAGCACACTCCGATTTCTTTTCTTCTTAGTGTAAGGTCTAGAAATTTGATTAAGAAATTTGATAAAGAGGCTGGATTTTAGCTCAGTAGTCAGATTTCTCAGTGCATGTAAACTCTTACTCTGATTTCTTTCGGATGTCTCAGTCTGTGTATGCGCAAAAACAAACTGCTGTACCAGAAATAAGTGAACAGTGTTGCCACGAGACGCAGCAAAACACTTTTGGAGTGACAATGAAACCAAATACATGCTTGATGAAATGAAGGCTTTAAATATTCTTCATCTTCTAGATGAAGAATAGATGATATTTTCAGGTAAACTGGCGCAATATTTGTTTTTTTTTTAAAAGCTGCAGCATGAAGTTTGAGTTTTACATTACGTTTATGTCACTTCGTCTTCTGTGAGTTTATTGGCTGGATACAAAGCAGAAATCGGATTACTGCCCGACTCATGTAGACCCGGAGTTTTCACATTATCTGATCACTCAAGCGCATGAAAACGCGTTGATCGGATTACTGACAAAATCAGTTTTTCTGCATTTTTCGGATTAGTAGTTGCATGTAAACACACTCAATGTTGCTCAGCAAGTGGTTGAAAGGATTTTATATCTTTTACTCTCTACGGTACATAATATCATCATATGAGTCAGGGAACCTGGAGAAACCTGTGTGCGTAAAAGGGCAAGCCTGAAAACCACAATTGAATCCCTTCAAGACCATCTAAAATGACCATGTGTCATGTCTAAGACCATCTGTCAAGGTACGGGGGGGTATTAGTGCCCATGACATGGGTAACGATTTTGGAGCAACATGTGCTGCCTTCTAGATGACGTCTTCTTCAGGCACATCCATGCTTATTTCAGCATGAGAGTGCTGAGCCACATCCTGTTGTGTTACAACAGCATGGCTGCGTAAACGGATACCTGTTGAAAACATGTGGTGCATTATGCAGCACAAAAAAAGACAATGAACGCACCGTGCACACGTGAAGACTTGTATAATGGAAGAATTGCCAAAAATTTTATTTTCAAAGCTGGATCAGTCGGTGTATTCGATCCCTAAAAGTTCTGTTAAAAGCAAAGGTGATGTAACACAGTAGTGAATATGCTCTTGTCACAAATTTATACAAGAAATATATACATTTATGTGTTTTTGGACTGTTTTCAATGTAATACAGGACAAACTGAATGTACTAATCACTGCTTTCTGTTTTTATTAGCATTTCACATACTGACTCAGTTTTTCTGGAGTTGACGTTAGTGTGAGTGGAGGTGCTCTGGGAGTGTTTGCGTCAGGATGCAGGAGGCACCGGCATTAATTTCTAGTCTAAGAGCGATGCCAGCTGGACAATGTGGTCAGTGTACTGCTGCTGGAAACTGATGACGTGGCCGTTTCTCTCCTCTCTCCAAATACAGTGTAGGGGAAGGATTCATATTTTATGGACTTCACATGATAAGTATAAAAACTTGGAAAGTCTGAAGGTCATTTATCCAAAACTAACTATACTGTTATAAGGTCCACTTTTTATTACACTCTGCACAAAAAACACTTTATGTATGAGCAGTAAGTCAAGCATATATGGGCATGTCCTTTATGTGTGCAGGTACAGAAATATATCATCGCTGTCCAAAGAAAAACAAGTATCTCCAAAACAGTAACTTTACAAGAGAGGGCTAAAAACCCTCTTACCGTTAAATGTAAGTTAATATAAAGAGATTTTATTCCAAGTGGTTTTGGAGCATTTCTATTGGTCCATTCATCATAACATTTTCACACGATGTAAAGGAGAGCTGGTTTGTTCAAACGATGTAGAAAAATAAAAACCCACAAAAATGGAGATACATGTTTTTTTTTGGACAGCGACGATAAAGAAGCTCCGTTTTACATTGCAGTATTTAAACCAGAGGATGTCAGAAGTCTGTAAAGCACACAGTGGCAGACTGTATTTGATTCCATTCAGTGTTTAGACAAGAGTGAGGAAACACAATGAACACACACACACACACACACACACACACACACACACGCACACACACACACACACGCACACACACTGTAGACCAGGGGTGTCAAACAAAAAATCTCAGCAAATCCGTGGGCCAACTCTGTTTGCGAACGGGCCATTGTTTATTCAAAACATGTGAAAACCGCTACAGCAAAATAGGCTTTGAATACTTATTAAAAATAATTCTAAATTAAAACAAATAGTTTTAGAATTTTTTTAAAACGGCCTATTTGCTTGATCCAGACACCAGGCATCTTTTCTTTTTGTGTAACCGCTGACCCGTAGATCGTTGTTGGGGGAAGGAGGTCAGAACACACACTATGTTTCAGTGCATGTTGGGGACGGTAGTGCATCTCACGGTGAACCAGGTTTTTAAGAATAGAAAATTAAAATCATTTTGCGGGCCGAATAGCACCATGTCTTGTGTTTGACACTCGGGCTGTAGACTGATGGGTATGGATTTAGATGCTAAGTGTGCAGATTTATAGACAGACAATCAGACGATATTCAATAATAAGGTCTACCACAATATTCAAGACACACAATGTTGTTATACTGAAATATCGTGATTGCATTTTAGTCACACAAGTTGCAATGATTGTCGATCCCCTATGGGATTCTAGTAGTTTGGAAGTGCTAAGCTACTGTTGGTTTGCATTAACATTTTTTGGTAATTCAAGATTAAACAGACATTCGAAGCTTCAAAAAGACATCCCCTGTTCTATGTGAAGCCTGTGACAGGCATGTTAGTATATATTTTACCTTGTAGCAGTTTCACAGTGACTCAGCTGCTGCTGTTTTTCTTTTTTTATAACATCGATTAAGCTGCCACTCATATTCCTAGTCAGTGACTCATCTAGAGCGAATCAAAATGTGATTGGTTGATTCCTCTGCCGCTTCGTAATTATGCTGATAGTTAATCGAACGTGTTAGGACTTCTTTTCAGCTCCTGAAGTCCTAACCAATAGGTGAGTTCACTTGTTGATATATACCTAGATACCTTAGAGAAAAGTGTTCTTGATTGACATTTAAAGAATTTAACCCTTCAGTTTCCATCCAAGCCTTAATGAAACGAGTAGTACTGAAGCACTTGCACAGTTTAAATACAAGTGTGACTGTATTGAATAAAAATGTCCCAGAAATTCCCAGAAATCATAAGGCATCGGAAGGCCTCAAAGGCCCTGAGGGCTTCCAGCTGGAAAAAAGGGTAGTTGTCGTGATATAAAACTTTTACATCGGAATTCTGGCGTTGTGGAAAAAATATCCTGCAGATTTCTTTGGAAAAAAATGAAAAAATGAAAGTGAGTCTCATATAAAGAATGTCAAAAGGTGGACATGCTAAATACCGAAAAAATGATACTATATTTGGTTACATTTGGCTTCTTTGTTTATTATCAATACGTTGAATTACTTCCTTTCATAGTTTTGTCTGATGTGAAAGAGTTAAATAGAGTCACTTCTGTAGAAATGTTTCCATTTAATTTCAGCTGAATTCATTCTACAGGGAGATTCACTCGAAAGAGGCCCCGAATATTCTGTAATAACTCTCTCTAGGATGAAGCAATCTGAACGAAACAACGTGCAATGAGCTCCTCAGTATATGGAGCTTTGAACAACCTGTGTCAGAGCGACGAGGTACGCGCCAGACAGCCGTCACGACGTTTAACCTCCGTTTGCAACTTCTGGGCGCGTACCCCCGTACCCCTTCATGTGTCTGGCAGAAAACAGAGATCACTTCCAGCATCGCATATAATGCAATCGATTACACATACGTCAAGGTATGTAGCGTATTCTTTTGGTTCAGATTGCTTCATCCTAACGGGAGTTACAGCAGAATATTCGGGGCCTCTTTCGAGTGAATCTCCCTGTATGACAATAGCATTGCTGTATGAGTCTACATGACGTGTGTGTCTGTCTGTGTGTGTGTGTTCCAGGATATCCAGAGGTCCACTAATGTTGTGTATCAGTCCCACAGCGTCAGCCGCAGTAAGAGAGGGCAGGTGGTGGGAACTAGAGAAGGATTTAGAGGATGCACCGTATGGCTAACAGGTGATCATACACAAACATTCTCATACATGAACACTCTACTTGCATTTGTGTTTATGGCATTTGGCAGATGCTCTCATGATTTACAGCTTAATGATGGCACAGAGGTAGGTGACTATAGCATTGGGAGTCTCACCCAAGGACTGTTATTGGTGTAGCTTGGTGCCCAAGCAGGGAAACCAAACACCAAATGGAGGGCAGTGATGTTACTCTATCAAGTCAAGTCAAGTCAAATTTATTTATATAGCGCCTTTTACAACAGATGTTGTCACAAAGCAGCTTTACAGAGAATCCGGGTCCCCCAGTGAGCAACCCTTGGCGACAGTGGCAAGGAAAAACTCCCTCAACAGGAGGAAGAAACCTCAAGAGGAACCAGACTCAAATAGGGGAACCCATCCTCCTCTGGTCGACACCGGATAACAGCACAGACACAAACCAGTATAAGTGGATACAGTTTAACACCACTGTGCAGTGCGCCGGCCGCATCTCAGGTCAGACCCTCGTAGGACGGGCAGCCGCTCAGCTCAGGGAAAAAGAGGGGGGAGGGGGAAAGAGTAGGGGGGTTAAGATGGACATAGTTAGGAAAACTAATTAACCAAAGGCTCGACTAAACAGGTAAGTTTTTAGCCTAGACTTAAAGATGGAGGCTGTGACTGAGTCCCGAACACAGACTGGTAGGCTATTCCAAAGCTGGGGGGCGTGGTATGAAAAGGCTCCTCCCCCTGACGTAACTTTATTTATTCTGGGTACTAATAATGAGCAGCACCTTGTGATCTAAGTGGGCGTGTCGGTTGATAATAGGAAATAAGGTCACTGAGGTACTGAGGAGCAAGGCCATTCAGAGCTTTATATGTCAGTAGAAGAATTTTGTACTCAATGCGGAATTTAACTGGCAACCAATGTAAGGTACACAAAATTGGGCTAATGTGGTCAAATTTCCTGGTTTTGCTGAGAACTCTGGCTGCAGCGTTCTGGACTAACTGAAGCTTGTTAAGGTGGTACTATACTGTATACTATATGGTGGTACTATACTGACCGCACAGTATACCAACCCATACTGGGCTGTGCAATGCAACAGCATGCTAGTAGAGATTTTTCTCGTGTGAAAGGTCGCAGTCGCACACGCACATATGTACATCTTCATGAGTCTACATGCTCATGGAAATTGTAGTCAAGAACTCAGGAGCTGTTCTAACTATGTAGCATGTGCAATATCGAACAACATTTCCCAGAAGCCCGTCATCTGCTCAACATCCTTGTGTGGGCTGCGACACAGGTTCGTTTCTGGAGTTTGTAGTAGTAGTAGTCTATCGGGTAGTACGTACAATAGAGAACAAATCTAGATGTTTGTGAAAAAACAGTCTTATGATGTAAAAAATGGACCTCTGAAGGTGCCCTGTGGTATCTGGCGCCAAGACATTAGCAGCAGATCTTAAAGAGGTGGGGCCACCAAGGATCGAACTTGTTGTGCTAGTACATTCCACAGATGCTTGATCGGAAGAAGATCTGGGCAACGTGGAGGCCAAGGCAACACCTTGAACTTCGTCGTGTTCCGAACAGTTTGTGTAGTGTGACGTCCCTTCCCCAGATAAACAGCGCACTAATTCGCCGTTCATGTGATGTAAAAGAAAGTGGGACTCATCAGATCAGGGAACCTCCTTCTAATGTGCCAAGGTCCAGTTCAGATGCTTGTGTGCCCATTGTAGATGCTTTTGACGGAGGACAAGGGGTCAGCATGGGCACTGTGACTGATCTGTGGCTATACAGCCCCAGCAAGGTCGAAGGCACTGTGTGTTGCCGTAACGATCATTAAAAATCTCTGTGACTTGTGCCACAGTAGCCCTTCTGTGAGTTAGAACCAGACAGGATAGCCTTTATTGCCTTTGCACATTGAAGGGCCTTGCTCTGACCCTTGCTCTGGCTTTAATGATTTTGCCCTCATCAAAGTCACCCAGGTCTTCTTGCCTACCCATTTCTCCCACGTCTAACACGTCAATTACGAGAACCGAATGTATGCTTACCGTCAAATATATCCCAGACCTTGACATGTGTGACATGTTGTTATTCGCTTCATCTGTGATAATAATATCATAATGTATCATATCATAATAATATCATAATCATAATGTTTTGGCTCATTGGTGTAAGTCTTCCCAAAGGCATCTCTGGGTTCGGTATCTGAGGTGCCCCTGCTGTTCTTACTGCCTTTACTGTCTTTAGCCTGTATACTATTATTAGCCTGTTTCTTAAGAATAATTTGAGTAAATTAAAAATCACGTTTAAATAACAGTCTGTTATTATAACAAACTGTTTTGCTTGAAATTTATAGCTTGAACCAAAAATACATCACTGTTGCTGTGGGTTTTCTCATGCTAAAAAAAATTGCCTGCAACTTTTATAGCGCCAGTGCTACATGCTCAAAAATTGTACATACGTCCCTGCTATACCAACTCCTCTTACCACCCTCTCGCTCTGTTTTTTGGTCGAGACTTAGGACCAGTCCCATTTCTTCTTTTTACCCCTACCCCTTGTTTTCGAGTGTCACCCTAACCCCTTGGAACTGAGTTACAAGGGGTAGTCGCTGAAATCTTGCCCTCTGAAATGGGACCCTCAAATTAAACAAAAAACATTACTTCATTAACAGCTACTAGCGCTGCTCTGTAGGCGACCCAGCCAGTCTGCAGTGACAGCAGAGGAGGGTAAAGTTCAGCTCCTCACTGCTGGGCTTTAGTTACATTTAGGACATCATATGACTTCAAAGAGGGGGGCAATTATTTATTATCGCCCACCGCAAATTCTTTGATATGAAGCTGAAGTCAGATATTCACCAGCTTCTTGTTTGAATTTTCCCGTTCCACCTTAAATGGTGGAGCAGTTACATTCTGGTGCTTCAGGCGTCAGAACTGCTGGATTATTTAAGGTGGAACGGGAAAGGTAGCTAGCTAGCTACTGAGAAGTTAGCATGCTATCAGCATTTTTTTGTGCTTGTTATGAAGAAAACGACCATAATACACTGAAACAACATTAAACTAAGATAATACAGTTGATATCGTAATTTTTAACTGAGAAAATTCTCACATTTGTGTGTTTCTTTGGTCGCCCTCTAAAAAACCTTCGTTTGGAGGGTCAAGTAGCCCTAACACTTTGCCCTACCCCTCTATCTCAACAAAAATTGGGACACCCTACCCCTAGACGTGAACATGCAAAACAGAGGGCTAAGGGCTAAGAGGTAGGGGCGAGGGGTGAAATGGGATTGGGCCTTAATTACTGTAATTCATATACAGTGAGGAAACATACTGAAGTCTTAACAGGGAGGAATTTCCAAAGATGTAAATACAGTATTACGTGAGGCTCCTTTTGATGGTTGGCAGGGTGTGTTCATGTTTTAAAAGCCAAAGTTCAACAGAATTGGTACTGAATTGGAAATAAAACCTGCCAGTAAGACACCACCCATGTCAGTCTGACCTGTAATTATGTGTCAGTATGTTTCAGTAACTTTGTGCTACATTTCAGTTGCAATTACAGTTCATGTCCTTCAAAGCTCCATATTTAGACACTTTAATGTGATTATGTGGTGAAAAATCTAATTAACACTAGACACCTTTACCCCAGTCAGTCAGCCCAGACGTGTTAGGTGTCCGATGTTTGCTTCTTTAGGTTTGCACTGGAGCGTTGATGCTAATGTAGCTAACAAGTAATAGAAACATACATGACTAAGTAGCACTGTGCAAACGACAGGCCTTATATTTTCACACACATTCTTCAAATCGCATCAGGTTTTATTAAGTAATCTCAAATAGACTTATGTGGTTTTTGACGCTGTATGACGTACTGGGCCAGATTAATAAAATACTGCGTCAGATGTAGCGATATGGTAAGAGCGAATAGCATGGTGGTAACACTTTTGCTCATTCATAAAGGAGGATTTCCAGCGAGTCTGCACTGTTACCTCATTTGAATGTGGCATTAGCGATTCATAATATCACACAATCCCACAAAAATAACGCCTGATCCACTCTGATGGAAATTTCCCCGGTAATCTGATGTGCATTAAATTATATTTCCTAAAATGTTTCTAAACATGTTTGGTCCCACATGCAACAAATCACACATACACACACTCAGCTGATTAACCGATATATTTAAAAGATGTGTTTTTTTTACATGATAAACCATGTAACTGCTGTTGTAGAAGAACACTAGGAGGGGGAAGACCTGCTCGGGACGGATTTTCTGTGAATGGAGAGTGGATTTTGGAAGTTGGAGTCCGAATAAGTGTGGAGTAATTTAACAAAAAAAATCTCACAAAAATAATACTTGAATTTTCAACCAGACAGTATAAACAACTTTTCTGGATTAATTATTTGTAATTATTGTGAGAAATTTGTTTAATTTAAAATAATATCAGGGCTTTGAGTGTAAATATATATTTATAGATGGCAGTTAGCCAAGCGCACCAGTCAGAATTGTTCACAGCGGTATTGATAGTAACCAGATGACTGATTTTAAAAGCTCCCTTACAGAAAGATGTTGCATGAAATGATTATGAATACTCAGACCAGGCTACGTTTTTCCAGTCTTCAACTGTCCAGTTTTGGTGAATCTGTGTCCACTGCAGCCTCAACTTTCTGTTCTTGGCTGACTGAAGTGGAACCCGACATGGTCTTCTGCTGTTGTAGCCCATCCACCTCAAGGTTTCATGTGTTGTGCATTCTGAGATGCTTTTCTGCTCATCACAGTTGTACAGAGTGGTTATCTGAGTTACTGTAGCCTTTCTGTTAGCTTGAACCAGTCTGGCCATTCTCCACTGACCTCTCTTATTAACAAGGCATTTCTGTCTGCAGGACTGTCACTCACTGGATGTTCTTTCTTTACTGCACCATTCAAAGTAACTCTAGAGACGCTGTGTGTCAAAATCTCAGGAGATCAGCAGTTTTAGAAGTACTCAGACCAGCCAGCATGCCACAGAAAAATCAATGAGATCACATTTTCCTCCGTTCTGATGGTTGATGTGAATTTTACCTGAAGCTGCTGACTTGGATCTGCACGATTTTATGCACAGCTCTGCTGCCACATGATTGGCTGATTAGATAATTGCGTGAAAGAGAAGGTGCACAGGTGTTCCTAATAAAGAGCTCGATGAGTGTAAATGTTTATTTTTAGCACTTTGGAACTTTGGAATCATTTTCCACAGCACACTCAGACCGAGCTCTGCCATTGGACTTAGTCCCGACTTGTATTTACACCAGGTATTTATTTTTATGACTGCTGGTTTAACGTCATGTTTATGAACATGTTCAGATGTTTAAAATCTAAATCATAAACATGTTGATTTTCATGTATTTGATCTGCTGTATTGTCTTTACTCAAGAGGGATCCCACCACTGCCTGTAGACAGCAGATAAATACATAAATATAAATATAAATACTTCACTTTAGACACTTCGTATGGCTGTTATCACCTTCTTAATTTCAATTTTGACAGTTCATGTTTAGCCAGTGGGCGGCACGGTGGCGCAGTGGGTAGCGCTGTCGCCTCACAGCAAGAAGGGCCTGGGTTCGATTCCCGGCCGGGTGACCAGGGTCATTTCTGGGTGGAGTTTGCCTGTTCTCCCCATGTCTGCGTGGGTTTCCTCCGGGTACTCCGGTTTCCTCCCACAGTCCAAAAACATGCAGTCAGGCTGATTGGACACACTAAATTGCCCCTAGGTGTGTGTGATTGTGTATGTATGTCTGTCTGTCTGCCCTGCGATGGACTGGCGACCTGTCCAGGGTGTATCCTGCCTTCCGCCCAATGACAGCTGGGATAGGCTCCAGCACCCCACCGCGACCCAGAAGGATAAGCGGTTTAGATGATGGATGTTTAGCCAGCTGTTGGAAACCGAGGCATTTTCCAAATATTTATGGTTGTGTTTTTGTGGCTGCGTCTATGTGTTTTGTATATATGTATGGTTATCTGTATTTATATAAGCTGTGTGTTTATTGTGTATTGGTAAGTGTGTGTGTCTGTTTTCTTTGTGTGTGTGTAGGTCTGTCCGGAGCTGGTAAGACCACAGTGGGCTTTGCGCTAGAGGAGTATCTGGTCTCTCATGGAATCCCCTGCTACTCTCTGGATGGAGATAATATCCGACACGGTCTGAATAAAGACCTGGGCTTCAGCTCAGCCGAACGTGAGGAGAACATCCGCCGCATCGCCGAGGTGGCCGGACTGTTCGCAGACGCTGGGCTCGTCTGCATCACCAGCTTCATCTCCCCTTTCACCAAGGTTACACACAATTCCTGTCACAACAATAATAAGTCTAACATTAATAATAGTGATGATAGTAATAATGCACTGATGTGTCCTGGTGTATTAATGTGAAGGATTTCGCCAAATTTTAGAATCAACTAGAACAGATATTGTGCTATGGTATACAAGCTGGTTGCTTAGGTGTTGCTAGGCCATTACTATGTTATTCCCGGTGGTTGCTAATGTGTATGTATATATGCACAGATCAGGCATAACATTATGACCACCTCCTTGTTTCTACGCTCATTGTCCATTTTATCAGCTCCACTTACTATATAGGTGCACTTTGTAGTTCTACAGTTATTCTTGAATTGTTGCACTTGTTGATTGTTGATCAGTCTTTCAGAGTGGTGAATAGAATTATACAACTTTTTTGGAAATGGGGTTGTGTGCATATATATATACATATATATATATATATATATATATATATATATATATATACAGACTGTAGTCCATCTGTTTCTCTGTATACTTTATTGGCCCTCTTTTACCCTGTTCTTCAATAGTCAGAACCCCCACAGAAGAGGTATTATTTGGGTGGTGGATCATTCTCAGCACTGCTGTGACTCTGATGTGGCGCTCTGTCACTTTAAGGTTTAATTTGGAAGAGCAGAAACTATTATAGACTAATAATCTTTAGCTAATGTCTCTCTCTCTCTCTCTCTCTCTCTCTCTCTCTAGGACCGTGCAGAGGCTCGCAAGATCCATGAGACCGCTGGGCTTCCTTTTTTCGAGGTGTTTCTGAACGCATCTCTGGAGGTGTGTGAGAAGAGGGATGTGAAAGGGCTCTACAGGAAAGCACGAGCAGGAGAAATTAAAGGTCGCCGACCTCAAATTTTGATCTTCTTTTTGACTTCATTGGCAATTTCTCCAATTTGGCAGTGAAACTTTCCGAAATAATTTTAAGAATTACAGTCATACACCAGTCAGCTCCTTTGTATCCACATTGCTCCTGTGAGTTTATGCACATTGCTGTAGTACCAGAGACTCATTTAAAGTGGTTCAACATTTATTTGCCCTGAAGCGTTAAAACTTTTTTGTACAATTGTGTCCTTTCATGTGTGAAGCTTTGAAAAGCTATTTAACACTTTACTACCTTTTTTATACAAGAGAAAACAGAGACATAAACTGTTGCTACTTTTCCAGTGGACCAAAAGATGCATGTATTTTTCTCACATCTAGATTGTTTTTGGGGACCATTTATGCAGTTACTGTCATATGACCAGACGATATGCCCACATGCACATAAACAGACAGATGGGCACACACTCAGAAAGTGTCCATGAACTAGAGCTAGAAGGCTGGATTACATACACAACACTATATATATATATATATATATATATATATATATATATATATATATATATATATATATATATATATATATATATATATCCCGATCAGGCATAACATTCTGACCACCTCCTTGTTTCTACACTCATTGTCCATTTTATCAGCTCCACTTACTATATAGGTGCACTTTGTAGTTCTACAGTTACAGACTGTAGTCCATCTGTTTCTCTGATACTTTGTTAGCCCCCTTTTACCCTGTTCTTCAGTGCTCAGGACCCCCATGGACCCTCACAGAGCAGGTACTATTTGGGTGGTGGATCATTCTCAGCACTGCAGTAACACTGACGTGGTGGTGGTGTGTGATTGTGTGTTGTGCTGGTCTGAGTGGATCAGACACAGCAGTGCTGCTGGAGTTTTTAAACACTGTGTCCACTCACTGTCCACTCTATTAGACACTCCTCCTTCTCAGTCCACCTTGTAGATGTACTGTTATCTTTAAACTGCTGGATTTTGTAATAGTATATGTCTGCACTGTATGTCCAAAAATATCCAGATACCTCTTCTAATTAGTAAATTCATCTACCTCAAAGTCAGCTAGATGGGAATAAAGAACCAGAACTGCATTCTCTGAGTGATGGAGCTCCATCCAGTACTTTCTGGATGATTTAGAGTGATTCAGAACTATCAGTACCTGATCCTCACTAATGCTCTTCTAATGTAGTCCTCACAGCAATGTTCCAACATCTAGTGCTGTTACTGCAGCAAAGGGAACAAACTCCTTGTTAAAACCCTTAATTTCAGAAGAAACGTTGGATGAGCAGGTGTCCACAAACATTACGACACTGGAAATGTACAAGAGTAACACACACAAAATGCCTCTATTTATGATTGCAGGCTTCACTGGGATTGACTCCAAATATGAGAAACCGGAGGCTCCGGAGCTGGAGCTCAGATCTGGAGATCTCACAGTGAACGAGTGTATTCTTCTGGTGGTGAACTTTCTCAAAGAAAAGGTACTCTAAGCTGCATCGAAGATAAATGGTTTTTATTCTGCTTATAAATACACTATTTTTTCTCAGCCTTATGAGCCCGGAACCTATATTTTTCTTGCAGTTCATTATTTCCTACTTGAAAAAAGTCACACATTTTTACATGACCATTTTCCAACCTCACTTGGAATAGAATGGGTTGTACTGAAGAGCTCATTGACTTTAAATGTGGCACGGTCATAGAACGTCACAAGTCTGAGATCTGCTGGACAACTGTATGCGCTGTTGTTGTGACATGGAAGCATTTAGAAGCAAAAACAGCTCAGCCATGAACAGCTCAGCCGAGCACTAAAGTGCATAGTGCGTAAAAATTGCCTATCCTCTGTTGCATCATTCCCTACAGAGTTCCAAACTGCCTCTGGAAGTAACATCAGCACAAGAACTGTGCAACAGGAGCGTCACAAAATGGGTTTCCGGGCTCCCGAGTGGCGCAACCGTCTAAGCGTTGGCCCTATCATCAGGAGATCGCGAGTTTGATCCCTGGTGATGCTACAGCCGTCCGTAGCCGGGAGTCTGAGAGAGCACAATTGGCCTCGCTCTCTCTGGGTGGGTGGGATGGCTGCCTTTCTCCCCCCATCACTCACTCAGCGCGATGCTAGTCAGCGCAGGCGTCTGTTAGCTGACGTAACAGATCTGGCGGTTGGCGCTTTCCTCCGAGTGCGTTCGGCTGTCCAGTGACGCTGCGTGAGCGCAGGTCTCGGAGGAAGCCTGTGTTAGCTTTCACCCTCCTAGCGTTGATAGCATCATGTGATTGGGGGAGTCCTAACCAGCGGGGTGGAATTGGCTACGACTAAATTGGGGAGAAAATCGGGGTAAAAAAAAAAATAAAAATTAATAAATGGGTTTCCATGGCCGAGCAGCTTCACACAAGGCTAAGGTCACAATGTGCAATGCCAAGTTTTGGCTAGAGTGGTGTAAAGCATTCTCTGGAGTGCGTTTTCACTCCACTCTCTGGCACTCTGATGGACGAATCTGGGTTTGATGCTAGGAGAACGCTGCCTAACAGAATGCGTAGTGCTAACAGTAAAGTTTGGTGGAGGAGGCATAATGGTCTGGAGCTGTTTTTCAGGGTTTGGGCTCCTTAGTTCCAGTGAAGGGGGATTTTAATGCTGCAGCATACAAAGACATTTTACACAATGATATGCTTCCAACTTTGTGTGAACAGTTTGGGGAAGACCCTTCCGTGTTCCAGCATGACTGAGCCCCAGTGCACAAAGTGAGGTTCATTAACTCGAGGTTTAACAAGTTTGATGTGGAAGAACTCGAGTGGCCTGCACAGAGCCCTCACCTCAACCCCAGTAAGCACCTTTGGGTGGAATTGGGATGTCCATTGCAAGCCAGGCCTTCTCGTCCAACATCAGTGTCTGACCTCACTAATGCTCTTTTGACTGAATGGCCACAAGTTCCCACAGACACACTCTGAAATAGTGGTGGTAGTGGTGGAAACTTCATATTAATGCCCATGGTTTTGGAATGGGACGTCTCACAAGCTTATATGCACAGGTCAGGCATAACATTATGACCACCTCCTTGTTTCTACACTCATTGTCCATTTTATCAGCTCCACTTACTATATAGGTGCACTTTGTAGTTCTGCAGTTACAGACTGTAGTCCATCTGTTTCTCTGCATACTTTGTTAGCCCCCTTTCACCCTGTTCTTCAGTGGCCAGGACCCCCATGGACCCTCACAGAGCAGGTACTATTTGGTGGTGGATCATTCTCAGCACTGCAGTAACACTGACGTGGTGGTGGTGTGTTAGTGTGTGTTGTGCTGGTCTGAGTGGATCAGACACAGCAGTGCTGCTGGAGTTTTTAAACACTCACTCACTGTCCACTCTATTAGACACTCCTACCTTGTCAGTCCACCTTGTAGATGTAAAGTCAGAGACGATAGCTCATCTGCTGCTGCACAGTTTGTGTTGGTCATCCTCTAGTCCTTCATCAGTGGTCACAGGACGCTGCCCACAGGACGCTGTTGGCTGGATATTTTTGGTTGGTGGACTATTCTCAGTCCAGCAGTGACACAGTCCAGAAACAGATGGACTACAGTCTGTAACTGTAGAACTACAAAGTCCACTTATATAGTAAGTGGAGCTGATAAAATGGACAATGAGCAGAGAAACAAGGAGGTGGTCATAATGTTATGCCTGATTGGTGTAGGCGTGATGGTCGGGTGTCCACATACTTTTGGCCACATAGTGAAGCAAGGCTCTGTAGTTTAATAACATTTTTTTAAGATAGCTGGAAAGTTATGTACCGTGACATTGTGACACAGACCTTGTTTTAATTGGGTGGTTAATAAAAGTGAGAGAAATCAGAACAAAGTTACTGGAAGAAATATAAAATAACTGCTTTTGTTTTTTTAGCTACATTTATATCAGGATTCCTGGAAATGAATGCAGGCGAAAGAGACTGTTCTAGGTAGATGTCGATATAGAGAACATGGAGAAAATATTACAAACATCCTCCAGTCTTACAAAACTCACTTGACCGTCATGCACTGAACAACTTTCTCCCAGTTAAGTGGGTGGAAGCGTACTAACCCTGTGTTGCATGCTGTTACCTCAGGACAACAAACATCACTTTACAACACTTGATCACTTTACAATGGTGTGATACATATGTACCGACAGTAAACATAGTCATAACAAAGGGAAGAGTTTAATAAACCAATAAAATGGCTTTATTTGGTCACCATATAATTTAGTGGACATTTTTAAACCTTTTTCTGGCACGGATGACACGTTTCAGCTCCTTCAGCAAAGCATTTCTCATCCACTAAAATGATTCATATCTGTTTGAGCATGACGTTAATTTTTTATCATTTAGTATCATATGAATGATTTATGTGTTGGAAGAAGTTGCTTAAGTATGTCTGTTGCCTACAAGCAACACTGTGTGACAGATTGGATTTAGCTAGTAGCAAATGAAAGGTCACTTATGTAGCCAATTGCAGTTATTATTCAGTTTTAACTATGTAACTAGTATATAATACTAGTAACTGTTAGTAGCTAGAAGCCCATTAAAGTCAATTCTGTCAGGTAGTGTTCAGCATATAGTATGTTCAACTACTGTTGTTAGTAGTTTTTGTTTAGAATATTCTTAGCACTTGAAAATTACTAGATTCGTTTTTATGTTCTAGTTTGGTTTTAACAGTTATTTGCAGTTTTAAATGATTGTTCGGTGCGCAAAAAATCAAAACGTTACTTCACAGTGTTGCGTCATAGTAACACGGCTTCTGTAAGAAATAACATGAAATAGATTTGGTTTTTATTTTGTTATTTGTTTCTTTTTTTTAAGCTTTCTTGAGCATATTTTTTATTTTTTTTTTATATGTTTTAATTTTTTTTACCCGATTTTCTCCCCAATTTAGTCGTTGCCAATTCCACCCGCTAGTTAGGACTCCCCCAATTACACAATGCTATCAACGCTAGGAGGGTGAAGGCAGCACAGGCTTCCTCCGAGACCTGTGAAGCCAACCACCGCTTCTTTTCGAGCTGCCGCTCACGCAACGTCATTGGACAGCCGAACGCGCTCGGAGGAAAGCGCCAACCGCCAGATCTGTTACGTCAGCTAACAGACGCCTGCGCTGACTAGCATCGCGCTGAGTGATGGGGGGAGAAGGAGGGGCCATCCCACCCACCCAGAGAGAGCGAGGCCAATTGTGCTCTCTCGGACTCCCGGCTACGGACGGCTGTAGCATCACCAGGGATCGAACTCGCGATCTCCTGATGATAGGGCCAACGCTTAGACGGTTGCGCCACTCGGGAGCGCTGTGTGAGCATATTTTTACTATTAAAAGATCAAGAAATTGTGTAGTTACTCAGTTCTAAATATTTAGATATCCTATATTTTAATGCTCCAGAATCGCTTTTAAGAAATTGGGTTTGATTTTAATAATCAGGTCAATTTTATGTAAAAGCAGTGAATCAAACATTTTAGAAAACTTTTCTAAACATTTTACACATACATAACGTGTAATAGTGTAACGAGGCGGAAAAACTCAGACGCTCGCGGTTAAAAACAATTTTAATGTTTGAGTCGTGATCCAAAAACGTGGTCAAAAAACAGGCAAAGGTCGAATCCAGCAAAGACAAGAGACAAAAAAAGACAAACATAACAAGACAAACAAAGTCCAAAGGGCAAAGGCAAAATGGGCAAAAGTCAAAACCGAGTCAAAACCGGGAAAATCACAATAGACGGAAGAAAACCGCTCAGTAGCTCTTGAACAAGAAGCAATACCTCGCACTGAACTAGACTAAAAGCTCGGGCTTCATACTAAACTAATTACCTCCAAACAGGTGTAACCACCACTCAGGCGACAGAGAGTGGTGATTGGAGGAAGATGGAGGGCTGAGAATCATGTGATCCCCTGGGGATTCTGGGAAATGGAGTCCCTAGAGACCTCTGGGCCTGAGGGATCCGTGACAAATAGAGGGTTTGATCCATTTGAATATTTGTCAAATTCAGGGAAAAAAAGCATATAAAGTCTCTCCCAATGTCTTCCAGGCTAATTAGTTACTAACATTACCACAAACAATGACTACAAATCAGAGGGGAGAACCTGCCATTGCTGACCATAAACAAACAGAACAACTATTTGTGTTGGCTTCAATCAGAATTCTATGGGGTTTCACATATTATGGGGGTATTCGCAAATATCCAACAGCTTTTTGGCAACTAGCCACTCTGAATGAGGTGAGATGTTTACTTATACACTGAATGACACATATAGGCCGAAATATGGTCTCGCGTGAGGGAACTGAATGACAAGCCAGCTCTGAACATGGACACTGTGTAACACAGTAACCTAATCATTAGCTAATACCTAATAATAAGACAGTGAAGTAAGCTGCTAGTTTAGCTGCATGGCTAAGCTGCTGCACAGCTACTGTTACACACTTTTACTTTCGCTACAATCATTCTCTCAGCACAGCCTCTCTCTTTAGCCTATAATAACAGCTGGATATCACTGCCATGGGTATTTTATGGATAAGTCCTTCAAAAATAGATCAGAATAGGCCTATGCGCCCTTTTTTGGTTACCATCTTGAGAGTAGCGACCATAGATATGCAGACATAGTTGCCGCCTTCATCCTAGATCTGGATAATATGACAATATTTATCGTTATTGTGATCAATTATGTGACGTTATTCCACAGTAAGCTTTTCTGAGCATATCATCAGCACTTAAAATCACTTCTCAAATGCAAGTTAGATTACAAAGAAAACATAATTAATCATATTTAATTGGATTTAGTGCATGGAATTTTGCCTACAAGTCATTGTATGCATAGTTAGATCATAAGTTAGATCATTTTTTAAAAGAGACACTGCTTTTTGTATCAGCTATATACCTGATAAGTGGTATTACAGTGATACGGATTTGAGGCTTTTTAGATTTCTTCAGCACTTCGAACTCCTTGTCTGGATGTTTGACAGTTAATGTCTTGTCTTCTCTCTCTCTCTCTCTCTCTCTCTCTCTCTCTCTCTGTATCTCTCTCTCTCTCTAACTCTCTCTCTCTCTCTCTCTCTCTCAGGGTATCATTCCTACCGGCCAGACCGAAGAGGTCACTGAACTGTTTGTGCCACAAAACAAACTGAAGCTGGTCCAGTCTGACGCCAACACTCTGCCCACCATCCCCATCACCAAGGTAACCAACCCAGTGACGTCACTAATGTTTTGCAGTTGAATCCGTGGGCCTCCTCCCATCCGCATTCACTTTAATCCTGGTCAGGTTAACAGTAGCTTGATGTGACCGAATGTGGCTTGTAATGTACTGTATCACAGAGTGGACATGCTTTTTGAAGACCTTCGTCTATGAAATATAAAACAGCAATGCACCAAAATGGAACTCCAAAACCAAAACTGAGGATACACAGGACTGAAACATTTACACTAACTGCAGTTTTTTTTTCTTGCCCGTTTGTTTTGCAACATTGATTCCTTTTTGTTTATATTTTTTAATAAAACATAATTGGAAAACGTCACCATGATAAACAAAAACGTTTTGAAAAGTCAGTATTTTGGTTCACTGTATGTGTTTTTGCAGACGGGGGTACCTTTTTTTTCAATGTGAGAGCTCTGTTTTTGAGCACTAGCCAACCCATTCGAAAAAAGTTCAGCTCAAAGAGGTCTGTGCTGACCAATTAAAAAGAAAGGAAGGCAGGCCTTCAGTGACAGTAGAAGTTGCTAAGTACCATCTTCATACTACAGAGTCAGCCCTCTTAACGGTGACTACTGACCTGCCGCTTGTTGTTGACTGGTAATTACGCCATTTGGGTCCTGCTAGGTCTCAGTGCTGCTTTTAACACTGCTGATCACAACCTCCTCTTTGAACGTCATGAGCACATGGTGAGGTCTCTACGGGGCAGCACTAAACTGGTTCACCTCTTTGTCATAAGACATTTGCAGCTAATGATGGCAATTTCTCTTCTTCTGTCTCTGTAATCAGCTATGGAGTTCCTCAAGGATCAATATTAGGGCCGCTGCTCTTCTCGTCATATATATGCTTCCACTGGGCAGCATCATTAGGAAGTATAATATTCTATTTCACTTTAATGCTGACGATACACAGCTTTTTCTCCCACTGAGGCCCCCTGATTTGTGCTCACTTAAGCATCTCAATGAAATTAAACTCTGGTTGGCAAACAGTTTTCTCCAGCTAAGTGAAAACAAATCTCAGCTTATTCTCTTTGGTCCTCCCTAGTCTGCTGACTGTTTGCTAAATAATTGTGATGTCCGGAAAATGTGAAACCTCACTCAATTAGCAGAAGGACAGACAATTAGTGAAGGAAGGCAACTGCAAGATTGCTCATGTCAAGCCGGTTTAAGCCTCTCTTCACTGGCTCCCTTACAGGATTTAGTTTAAGATTCTTTTAATTGTATCTTCTGATACCGACCACTGGACATTTTCGGCCGAAAACGGTCAAAATTGGCACTTTCGGTTTTTGTCTGAGAGACAAAAAGGCCAAAAATTAGAGGTTAAAAAAGCAATTAAATACAAATACGTGTCAATTCTAACACTTAACAAATGACTTGAATGGTAATGAACATGAGAAATAGTGATGAATAGTGAAAAACGCTGTTTGTTTTCTATGATGATCAGACCAGATGCATTCAAACAGTAGCAGATCAACAGTGGAACGTACTAACACGCCGTCTGCTGCCCCTGAGTTCTGGGCAGCGTTTAACTTACATGGGTTTTAGCATTTACTGATTTAATGAATTTATTTAATGGAAATCACGTAAATAATACTGAATAACTCAATATCTTTTGGTAATAAACTTCTTAACCTCTCGTTTTGCCCCTTAGGTTATGATGTTAATTCAACTGCATAAATAAAATGGCTAATTAAAAAAGTTTCTTTTTGGTTTCCGGTTTCAATTTGTACTGAATTTCAGTTTCAGTCAAGCATTTTTATTTCACTCCCTGTTACTTTATTATAACCCTTATTTCTTATACTCAGATAAGTGAATTGTTTCATGATTTGTGAATTGTTATATCACTGAATATGTTGTATTTAAACTTTTATAAACTTTTTCTGAAAAAGAAAAAAATATATTCCAGACGAAATTTCAGTCCATCCGTTCTATGAAATGTTTCCATGTAGAAGCTTTTCTTTCATGAAAATGTTGTCATACTGTTTATGTTGCATGTCGTGCAGTTGGACCTGCAGTGGGTGCAGGTGTTGGCCGAGGGTTGGGCGAGCCCCCTAACGGGCTTCATGAGAGAGAGAGAGTACCTGCAAGCCCTTCATTTCTGCAACCTGCTGGACAGTAAGCACACAAATTCTCTCTCTCTCTCTCTCTCTCTCTTTCTCTCTCTCTTTCTCTCTTTCTCTCTCTTTTTCCCCTCTCTTATCTCTCTCTTTCCTCTCTCTCTTTCTCTCCATTCTCCTCTCTTCTCTCTCTCTTATATCACCCTCTCCCTGCCTTCTCTCTCCTCTCTCTCTCTCCTCTCTGTCCCTTCTGTCTCTTCTCTCTCTTTCTCTCTCTCTCTCATTTCTCTCTTTCCCTCTGTCTTCTCTATCTTCTCTCGCTCTTGCTCGTCTTTCTGTCTCTGCTCACGCTCTCTCTCTCTCTTTCTCTCATTTTCTTGCTCTTCTCTCTCCTCTCTCTCTCCCTCTTGTCTCTCTGTGTCTCCCTCTTTCATTCTTCTCTCCTCATTCTACCCTCTGTCTCTGTTTTCTCTCCCTCTCTCTCCCGCTTGTCTTTCTGTCCCCTCACCATTAACGCTGTATTAAATGAATATCATTTGAGGGTTTATGCAAAGTAAGGATGCTACAAACGTAGAGAAGGTGCAGATCATACTAAGCCAAACATCCGTGTATCTGTATATTACATTAACATTAGTCAACACAGACAGACACATACGCCAGCTCTGTGCACGATTAGTCGGGTCTCAAACAGCAGAGATCACACACGGCCTGAACACACTCTTACAGGAATGATGCAACAGCCGCTCTGTTTCTGAAACCTGCTGGGTTCCGCATTTAAAGGGGCAGTTCGCTCTGAATTGGTTACAGGTCTAGTGATAAAGGAGAGGTTATCTGAGGCGTAATATGAACAGGATGTAAGTCAGCAGTGTAATTAAAACGGCAAAAGAATTAAACAGCATTGAACTTCTGCAAAACACGCTGTTGTAAACGTAATTAAAAAGGACTACTCGTGCAGTGACGCCGGCAACCATGTGACCATGTGGACCTGTCACAGTCGGGGGGTGTCTCAGAACAAACGATGCGGTGAAAGCACAACCACCACGTTCGCGTTAGTGAAAAAGACAATGGGCCTCATTCACTGATATCCTCCCCACGTTCCTTGATAACCCGTGTTTTATGTCGAAAAAAGTTCAGCTCGAAGGGGTCTATGCTGACCAATCAAAACAAAAGGAAGGCAGGCCTTCAGTGACAGTAGTAGTAGTAGTACCATCTTCATGCTCCATACAGGGTCAACCTCCTTAAAGGTGACTACTGACCTGCTGCTTGCCGTTGACTCTGGTAATTCCGCCGTTCTGGTCCTGCTAGGTCTCAGTGATGCTTTTAACAGTGCTGATCACAACCTCCACATGGTGAGGTCTCTACGGGGCAGCACTAAACTGGTTCACATCTTTGTCATAAGACATTTGCAGCTAGTGATGGCAATTTCTCTTCTTCTGTCTCTGTTATCAGTTATGGAGTTCCTCAAGGATCAATATTAGGGCTGCTACTCTTCTCGTCATATATATGCTTCCACTGGGCAGCATCATTAGGAAGTATAATGCCAAAAAAGAAAACAATGGTGAACGTTAGAATCAGAAGTGTGTTTTAAGTGGCTCCTGAGTGGCGCAACCGTCTAAGCGTTGGCCCTATCATCAGGAGATCGCGAGTTCGATCCCTGGTGATGCTACAGCCGTCCGTAGCCGGGAGTCCGAGAGAGCACAATCGGCCTCGCTCTCTCTGGGTGGGTGGGATGGTTGCCTTTCTCCCCCCATCACTCAGCGCGATGCTAGTCAGCGCAGGCATCTGTTAGCTAACGTAACAGATCTGGCGGTTGGCGCTTTCCTCCGAGTGCGTTCAGCTGTCCAATGAAGTTGCGTGAGCGGCAGCTCGAAAAGAAGCGGTGGTTGGCTTCACAGGTCTCGGAGGAAGCCTGTGTTAGCCTTCACCCTCCTAGCGTTGATAGCATCGTGTGATTGGGGGAGTCCTAACTAGCGGGTGGAATTGGAGACGACTAAATTGGGGAGAAAATCGGGTAAAAATTAGAAGTGTGTTTTAAGAAGAATACTTTTCTTAAGAGTGGTTGGTGAATGAAGCCCATTGTTTTGCCTTAAAACATCATTTAAAATTTGCTGGCTTTGTTACATTTTAAAGAGTAGTTTGGCAAAAACATATAATTTACATAACTTTCCACTTATTCTCGGATGTAGTGGATCAGCCAAGACATGATTGGTGTCCAAATTCTGCTTCTTTAATTTAGCACTGGAGTCTAACATTGCTAGCAAACACTAAAAGTTAAAAGACACACACATTTTTAATTAATTTATACATTTCAAAGTAAGACATACTGTGACGAATCAACAGAAACCAGACGCTCGCGGATAAAAAGGACAATATCAGATTTACTTCCAGAATCACAATCCAAAAACGTAGTCAAAGAACAGGCAAGGGTCAAATCCAGCAAACCCAGCAGAAGTGTTATGATGAGCATAACACCAGACAAACAAACACAAAAGGGTAAGGCAAAAGACGTAGTCATAGAGACAGGCAAAAGGTCAAAAGACGAATCAAAACACAGTCCAGTAAAAGTACAAAGGGATCGAGCAAAAGGCAGAGTCAAAAAACGAAGCAAACGGTCAAACACAGGATACAAACAATGATGAAGAACGTTCAGTAGTTTACGGTGAAACCTCACCTCGCAACTAGACATAACTAAAGCCCGGGGTTATAAACTAAACTACGAGTCATATGACTGCACACACAGGTGATACACATTAGTATTCGGGTGACTGAGAGCGCTGATAGGAGCGTGATAGAGAGTCAGAAGTCATGTGATTCCCCGAAGCATTCTGGGTAATGGAGTCCGAGCCGTATTCCGGTTCTGAGGGAAGTATCTCAGTCATGTGATCTCTCAGAGGAGTCTGGGAGATGGAGTCCATGTTTCTATGAGAACATGCCGGATGCGTGACACATACTGTCCTCTAAACCACATTGATAAGTCTGCACGAACTCAATGAAAGGCTGCATGAGGTTTAAATGAGTTGGGGATGTTTTTACAGAAAAATTTGGGTGACTATTGACTTCTAGTGTTTGTTAGCAACATTAGCCTCATAGCTCTGGTTCTAAACTAAAGCAGCAAAATTTGGATGCCAAACATATTTTGACTAATTGACTATATCTGGGTCAAAAGGATCGTTTTAACCTTTATTTAACCTTTATTTAACTTAACCCTAAGTCTAGAGCCATTTTGCTATAATATTTAAATGTGCCTAATTTTATAATGAATGAAATGTGAATCTGTGCTCATGGCTTTTTGTTAGTTTGAATGTCATGAAATCACAAAATTATGCCATAAAGTCATGTCTTGGTCTATCAGCTATAGTTAGAGTGAAATTGTATGAATTGGATGTTTTGTCAGATTATCGTGTAATTTTCCAGATTTGATCAGTTTGTGCCTTTATAATCTGAGTGTCCAACCGATACCATGTATCCCCTTCCAAAGGTGGCACTATCAACTTTTCTACACCCATCGTCCTGCCTGTCGCCACGGAGACGAAAGAGAGTTTGTCCGGCAGTGCAGCGGTGGCGCTGGAGTACCAGGGGAGGAGGGTCGCTGTCCTGCGGAACCCAGAGTTCTTCCAGCATCGTAAAGAAGAACGCTGTGCACGCCAGTGGGGAACCACCTGCACCAAACACCCCTACATAAAGGTTTGAGCAGCAACTGGATGCAGCTCATTCACAGTGTTGCTTCATAATAACCTACCAATAGTTTATTCAGTTACCAGAGAAAACAGCTGCTGTATTATTTCCACTGCTAAAAAGGTCATTCTACAGAAACGTCCACTTTTCTATCTGTCCATAGGAGTCACTGGTGTTACTGGCCCTCATTGGTGTAACACATAATAAAGGAACACCAGAGACATTTTTAATGAACAATGCATTTTACTAAATAACTGCTACAGAGCATCAAACCACATGTAGTCAATCATGGAATATCCACTAAAATATGGAATTTAATCCATTTGTATTCTATTTTTTCACAATGACCTCAGAATAAAGTCGGTCACACCAGTGACTTCAGCTAAAAGCTTCATATGAAATCATGAGCTAAATGAGAAAATCTCTGATAACTGAAAGACACAGTGGACTCACCATGTGCTTTTCTTCATAGATCCTCAGAAAACAGGTAAAAGGAAGTCGAGTGATGTCATCAGTGTGACTTTTATTTCAAAATAAGAGATTGTTTGTTTTGGTAACACCAGTGACACGACTCCTGGGGACCACAACTTTCATTCTATATTTTATAATATTTATTTGTTTTCTTTATTCATTTAATTTATGTATTTCATAGTCATGTATAGATTATTGTTAAAATTGCAGAAAAACACGTTTTTGCGCTTATCCTTCACACATGACTGTGAGGACGAGCTCTTCTGTGGTGCTTGGAATTCTAGATAATTGATTTAATAACCAATATTGCTGAATTGAGGCTCAAGAAGGTGTAATTGCTAAAATAACTTATTGTTTTTTTTTAAATATAAATAAATTGTAACCCTAACATGTTTTTGAGGTGTAATATATTTGTAAACGCTAGGGACACAAAAATGGATGCTTCTGTAGAATGACCCAAATAGCACTATGCTAGGGCACGACCAGTATATCGAATAGCCAAACAAGTATGTTTGGAGACTTTCTGCTTTATATGAAATTAAGGAGTGTGACAGTTGAGAACTGACAGGCATATAATATCATAGAATTAGTAAAGCACTTAAAAATCTAAACATGAATATATAAAATTTTATCATTTCATTTGATATCAGAATTTTTAGCCTCTTATTTTTTAAAATTAGGATCAGTATTGGCTGCAAATCTTTCATATCGATCAGGACGTAGGTCACACAGAATTATAGTGTAAAATAAATAAATAACAACTATGTAAAAACTACGACTGGAAAGTATTAGCCTATGTTCTATAGTCATAAAGACACTATGTGTCCAAAAGTATGCAGACACCCCTTCAAATGAATGAATTCAGTTACTTTAAGGTGCACCCATTGCTCACACAGATGTTCAGTTTGTATATCCTTCGTAGGAAAGCACTTATTAGTAGAAAGGGATGGTCAGGAGCAGCTGGACATGAGCCTAAGGTCATCATGTCCGATGACAGGCATCAGCTAGACACAGCATTGCGCTATGCAGTGGTGAAGCTGAAGTGATGGGGCTCCATCCAGTACGTTTGGAATGAGTTGGAGTGATCCAGTAATATCAGTACCTGACTTCACTAATGCTCTTGTGGCTGCATGCAATCAAATCCTCACAGCAATGTTCCAGCATCTAGTGTAAAGCCTTACTGGAAAAGCAGAAGCTGTTACTGCAGCAGATACGATCTATTAACACCCTTCATTTCAGAGGAAACGCTGAGTGAGCAGGTGTCTACAAACTTTTGGACATTTACAGACTGTAGCTCATCTGTTGATGCAAAATTTACAGCCATGCAACATTGGTCAGTTTCTGACCGCAGGACCAACCTGACCAGATATTATTTTGATATCAGAGATTAGAGATTGAAGATGAGAGCCATTTATCATTAAAAAATTTCCAATATCGGTGCTAATACAGATATCTTAATTTTGATACCGATTCTCGAATTATACTTTTTGAAGACCTTCTTTTTAAATAGAAACAGAAAGTGGGTGTGGCTTAAAGCAGAAATGAGTGTGAGGTGCTGGAGTGCTGGAAGTGGGTCAGAAACTGACCGCTGGTGAAGAGTTAGTGACGAGCTAACACGTTGCATCAACAGATGAGCTACAGTCGCCAACTGTAAACCAGCTAGTTTGGGGTTTCTAATAAAGTGGCCAGTGTAAGTAATGGAAGAACCATGTATTAATGTTCTATGAATGCAAACGCTGGAGTGCACACTCTAACTTCAGACCTGTTGCAGATGGTGATGGAGAGTGGTGATTGGCTGGTGGGTGGGGACCTGGAGGTGCTGGAGCGAATCAAATGGAACGATGGCCTGGATCACTACCGCCTCACGCCGCAGGAGCTGAAACAGAAATTCAAAGAAATGAAAGCAGGTTTGAGTGAAAACAAACAAGCTCTACATGATGCCTGTGTTGGATTATCATATGGTCCTGTTACCAGCATACAGACGGGTGACCAAATTAAAAGAAAACCAACATAAGTTGTCTTAGTAAGGTGCTGGCATTGATTCTACGGCCCAGTCCCATTTCTTCTTTTTACCCCTACCCCTTGCTTTCGGGTGTCACCCTAACCCCTTGGAACTGAGTTACAAGCGGTAGTGGTTGAAATCTTCCTCTGAAATGGGACCCTCAGATAAAAAGAGCATTACTTCATTATCAGCTACCAGCGCTGCTCTGTAGGCGACCCGGCCCGTCTGCAGTGACAGCAGAGGAGGGTAAAGTTCAGCTCCTCACTGCTGGGCTTTAATTACATTTAGGGCATCATATGATCTTCAAAGAGGGGGGCAATTATTTATTATCACCCACCCCTAATTCTTCAGTGATATGAAGCTGAAATCAGATATTCACCAGCTTCTTGTTAGAATTTTCCTGTTCCACCTTAAATGGTGGAGCAGTTACATTCTGGCGCTTCAGGCGTCAGAACTGCTGGACTATTTAAGGTGGAAAGGGAAAGTTAGCTAGCTAGCTACCAAGACATTAGCATACTATTAGAGATTTTTTATGCTTGTTATGAAGAAAACGACCATAATACACTGAAACGACATTAAACTAAGATAAAACAGTGATTATTGTAATTTTTTAACAGAGAAAATTCTCACATTTGTGGGTTTCTTTGGTCTCTTGTTCTCCATCTCGCCAGTTTTTCTTTTTTCTCATAACTCTCTGTTTGGAGTCTCTGAAAAACCTCCGTTTGGAGGGTCATGTAGCCCCAACACTTCACCCTCCCCCTCTATCTCAACAAGAATCAGGACACCCTACCCCTAGACGTGAACACGGTAAACAGAGGGCTAAGGGCTAAGAGGCAGGGGCGAGGGGTGAAATGGGATTGGGCCTACAAGTCTATGGATCACTATTTTTCCCAAAGATATTCCCTCACTTGGGGTTTTGATGATGGCGGTGGACAGCGCTGTATAAAACATCAGTCCAGAGTCTCCTAATGGTTTGAGCCACAAAGAGACCCTCACTGTAGAGGTCAGGCCTCCTGATTGATGGGGGGAATGAACCTACAGCGTTGAGTGTAAAGCTGTTTAGGCCCCTTTGCTAAACCAATGCCAGCTTGTAGTGCTAACAAGCATATTGAAGCAAAAGTAGCTTAAGCTAACAGTTCCACACACAAAAACACCTGAACCTGTGCTGTGGCAGGAAGATGAAGCATGCTAAGCTGCTGCTGTAGAACACGACCTGCTACTAGAACAGCTCCAGACCACATTTGGCAGATTATTAGATAAGTGTGGATAAATTTAACGCCATCATATTTTAAGATGCCAACATCATTTATCTAGCGGCTCACTGCACAGTACAAACATCTCAAACAAGTAAGCTACATTAGCACTGGGATGTTCAGTAGCTGTAAGCAAGTTTCCTGTCATGATATTGTAATAGTCTCATTAGCATATTTTAGCATACTGGACCATGATTGGTTCATTTGTGACCTTAAAAAGCTAAGCAGCTGTGTAGCACAGTTTTCAGTGGAAAAATGTTTATAATAACACATTTAATACAAATATCAGTCTGTCCAATCATAGCAAGCCATCCAAGAGGAGTTAACCATCTAAAAAACTAAAAATTAAGTCAGCGTTTTATAATATTTTGTTGTGTCTCCAGTTTATAAAAGCTGAATTTCACTTTTCTTACTTTACTTGATTTTACTAATCGTGGTAAAATCACTGTAACGTATGGTATCTGGTGGCTCCTTGCTCAGAAAACAGACCTATAACATCTCACCCTCTGTTCCCGCCAGATGCCGTGTTTGCATTTCAGCTGAGAAACCCGGTGCACAACGGCCACGCCCTGCTGATGACGGACACGCGGCGGAAGCTGGAGGAACGTGGGTATCGTAGGCCGGTGCTGCTGCTGCACCCTTTGGGAGGCTGGACGAAAGACGATGACGTTCCCCTGGACTGGCGGATGAAACAGCACGCTGCTGTTCTGGAAGATGGCATCCTTGACCCTAATTCAACCATTGTGGCTATCTTCCCTTCACCCATGATGTATGCTGGACCTACCGAGGTGGGTGTCGGCTCATGCGGCATAGAAAATGGAGAACGTTTCATACTTATACATACCGTACATCTAAAATAACTGGGCTGATATTTCTCTCATCTTGGAGTAAAATGCAGAGCTGATAGTGGTTGATCAATAAATATATATAGAGCTGTCAAGCGATCAGAATAATTGACCTTTGTTTCGTGTAGTTCATGGGTGCCCAATCCTAACTGTAAAGGACTTCAGGAGCACACCTGATTTCATTTGTTTAATCTGTTGGTCTTGCTCAGGGGTCAACAACCCAAATGTTAAGAAGATAATAAAATAAAATGAAAATGTAATCACCTTAGAAGCCACAACAGTTTATGTCCATTTTACCACTTTGGCTGTAAATACGCCTCAGTATGTGCTGATGTACTATATAGGATAAAAATATATAAACGAAAACACAGACTTACTTTGCTCTGCTTTAAGCTTTAGCCCAACTATAGCCACTTTTCTCGCATCTCCAGCAGGAAACTTTTCCTCAAAAGTAGAATAGTTTCTTGTAAAATGTCTCTTAACTATTTATGATCTCATTCGCCAGCTTCATTGAATTTTTAATTTTCCTGGTCCACTGTGTTGAACTGTGTTGAACGATCAGCAGAGCTTTATTTTACTGTAAAGGAGGATTATTTTATTTTTACCTACAAATCTGATTCTGCTGTGGAGCCACAACAGGGCAGTAGAAGAGCCGCATGTTGCTGACCCCTGGTCCAGCTAATTTAGCCTACCAACAGGGGGCTGGCTAAGTTCTATCTATGTCAGCTCTGTTAAGTGGGTAGATGTTTTGTCACTGGCAGTGTTGTTTGACTGTAAACCAGTTATTAACCAGTATAACCAGTCTGTTTTGTTACAAATTTCACATTTTACTTCATTTCTTTGTCTAAAGTAAAATTAAGCTGGACTGTCCAAGAGAGAGTTTTCAGAGAGGCTGTGTGGAACATCTCAGACCTCCATGTGTACGCTGGTGCAGGCAAACTTCAGTATCACTGCATGGAACGGAGTCCAAAGGTTTGGAGTCCAGTCTTGATTCCTGAATCTCTGGAATCAAGGAAACGATTATTTTTTAGTTTGACTACCAGCCCTAACTTTTACACTGGAGCTAAAAAGATAACATAGCTAGTGGGGGGTGCAATGATTATTCGACTAAAATCGACGACCGAATTAGTCAGCAACTAATTTAGTAGTCAATTAGTTGGTGACGTCATTACGTGTCTGTCCCGCGCTCACTATGAATGTTTTGACATGACCGCTTACTGGAGAGTTAACAACAGCGCGATGGCAGCCTCAAGAACAAAATCCTCAAAAGTATGTTAGTTATAAGTTGTTATATTTTATTTCTTCTACTTTGCACATCCTTGGTTATATTATTATAAATTTTGACAGGAAAAAATATATTGGAGTTTGAATTTTTTTATCTTTTGTATTAGCAGGAAAGTTTGCTAAAACAGTGAATTCTTGAATGTTATTTATCTTTATTGTCTTCATTGTTAGTTAGCAAATGCATAAAACCTCAAGCTAAATTTAAAAGCTAATAGCTACATAAAAGTTATTTGGTAATGTACCAATTCATAATCCGATTAATCGAATCTTTGTTTCAGTAATCGATAGATTATTCGACTATTAAATTAGTTGTTGTTGCAGCCCTAGCTTAAAACTCCAAAAATTAGCATGCTTCAAACGTCATCCCTAAGTCATCGACGCTCATTTGGATTCTAAACTGAATTTGAATTCTAAATTTGATGTTTTCACCACATTATTCCATTAGCATGATGTTGAGATGCTGACTGTGCTTTCCTCCAGAATAGGACTGAACTGGTACAACAAACTGGTTTCTTACTCTTCCTGTATGTGAAATTGCAGGTGCAGTGGCATTGCAGGGCTAGAATGATGGCTGGGGTTAATTTCTACATCGTGGGACGAGACCCTGCCGGCATGCCACACCCAGAGTCAGGGCAGGACCTGTACGATCCATCTCATGGGGCTAAAGTGCTGTCCATGGCTCCAGGGTTGACCTCTGTGGAGATCATCCCTTTCAGGGTGGCCGCGTACAACAAGAACAAGAAGGCTATGGACTTCTACGACAAGGACAGGTGAAACATGCATGGAACACAAAATGGAAAAGAAATACATATTATCTGAAACCCAAATTAACTAATAATGAAATACAACCCTATTTCCAAAAAAGTTGGGATGCTGTGCCAAATGTAAATAAAAACAAAATGCAATGATGTGCAAATCATTTAAACCCTGTATTTCATTGAAAATAGTACAAAGGCAACATATCAGATGTTGAAACTGAGAAATGTTATTGTTTTTTGAAAAGTATATACCCATTTTGAATTTGATGCCAACAACACGTCCCAAAAAAGTTGGGACAGGGGGAACGAAAGGCGGGTAAAGTTGTGTAATGCTAAAAAAAACACCTGGTGGTTAATTGGCAACAGGTCAGTAACATGATTGGGTCTAAAAGAGCATCTCAGAGAGGCGGAGTCTTTCAGAAGTAAAGATGAGGAGGGGTTCACCACTCTGTGAAAGACTGCACGATCAAATAGTGCAACAATTCAAGAATAACGTTTTTCAACATAAAACAGCAAAGAACTTTTGCTTTTCATCATCTATGGTACATAATATCATTAAAAGATTCAGAGAATCTGGAGAAATCTATATCTAATATGTAAGGGACAAGGCCATCCACAAATGCAAGTTAAAATTCTAAAACTCAAAGAAGAAACCACATATAAACAGGATCCAGGAATGCTGCCACCTTCTCTGGGCCCGAGCTCAATGGACTGAGGGGAAGCGGAAAAGTGGAAAAGTGTCCTGTGGTCAGTATTCATGATGGTATAGGGGCGCATTAGTGCACATGGCGTGGGTGACGTGCACATCTGTGAAGGCACCATTAATGCTGAATGATATATACATGTTTTGGCAACATATGCTGCCATCCAGACGACGTCTTTTTGAGGGAAGGCCTTGATTATTTCAGTAAGACAATGTCAAACCACATTCTGCATGTATTACAGCAGCATTGCTCCACAGTAAAAGTCCAGTTGCTAAACTGACCTGCCTGCAGTCCAGATCTGTCACTCACTGAAAACATTTGTTGGCATTAAATTCAAAATGAGTATATATTTTTCAAAAAACAATAGAATTTCTCAGTTTCAACATTTAATATGTTGTTTTTGTACTATTTTCAATTCAGCATAGAGTTTACATGATTTGCACATCATTGCATTCTGTTTTTATTTACATTCTGCACAGTGTCCCAACTTTTATGGAAATGGGGTAGATAGTAGAATAAATTCTGTACATTTGAAGCAAACTTATTTTGCACGTTTTGCCTAGAATAAGTGCATTCCTATCGAAAAATCTGCCCCTCGCTGTCCCTGCTTCCTCTTGACCTTGTCCTGCAGGTGACCACTTGTGTTCTGTAGGTGCTACACACTTCTGAGTCATGAAGTGAAGATAAGGAAGGCATGTTTAAAGCAGTATTGAAGTGAAGGGAGCGTAAGCTGTAGTCTCACTGGGCCGGACTTGAACGCTTAACAAGAATAGGGACAACTTGTTAAACTTTTGGTGCTGGATTGCAGCGAAATCTGCTGCTAACAAGGGTACAAAGCCTGACACTGCATTGCCTTAAGACATGCAGGCAGTCTTTTCCCTCCCTCTCTCATCTTTTGCCTTCTCATCTCTGTCTCTCTCTCTGTTTCAGACACGCTGAGTTTGAGTTCATCTCAGGGACAAAGATGCGGAGTTTGGCTCGCAGTGGACAGAACCCTCCAGATGGCTTCATGGCCCCCAAAGCCTGGAAGATCCTAACTGAGTACTACACATCTATGCAGAAAGAGCAGTAACAGCACAGCAATGAGCAGCCGAACGGGATTCTCCTGCTTTTTAATGAGACCACCATTCGGAAACCAATCACAGACAGTGGAGCCTCGTAATACCTCAGAGTCTTAGGATATGAATTATTTCATTGTGTGAACTAGTTGTTCGAAACGAAACCCAGGGAGTGCCTCAGTCAGTCGATACCTGGTTAATCATGACCTTATCAGGCTGCTTCATGTTCACTTTCTTAAGATATGCATTATTTAATGAAAAAGGGATGGAATGAGAATGTGAGTGAATCCTGTTTTTTTAAATCAAGTCTAACCCAAAGTGCCTTAATATGAAGGACCAAATGCCCGCACATTGGGTGCTATGCATTTTTATTGTTTGATAATATATTTTGAATACAACCATAATTAAGTATATATTTACATTCAAAAGGTGACTGAGTGCAGCTTTTTACATTGTATATTTATATAACTTGTACTATGCGCCTGACTGTGATTGTGATTTTCAGCTGACTGAAAAACCTTTGAGATGTGCCTTGTTTTGAATAGTATTTTAGGGCTGCACGATATATCATTTGATAAATGATACTACGATATTAACACATCTGCTTTCTATGCTGTACACTGGGGTTCAATCCCCATCTGGGTGAATACCCTACACTATACCAATAAGAGTCCTTGGGCAAGACTCCTAACACTGCCTTCCCCTACCTGTGTAAAATGATCACATTTTAAGTTGCTCTGGGTAAGAGTGTCTGCCAAATGCTGTAAATGGTAAATGATATTACAGAAGTCTGGACTATGCAAATGAGCCTCTAACATCAGGGGTCTTAAACTACCAGCCCACAAGACAAGCTTCATACAGCCCATTGCATATTTACAATTTATCCTTAAATCTGGCTATTTTGTTTTTCTGAGGGGTAGATTTGCTTCGCCACCAGACGCCGTGGCCAGTTTCCCCTATATAAGCTACAGTCTTTCACAAATATTGGTACCCCTGGTAAATGAGAAAAACAGGATGTAAAAAAACTTTCTTTATTGCTTACGTTTATTAAATTTAATTCAAAATGTTAACAAAAAAGTCTAACCTTTACTCGATGTGCAATGATAAAAAAATGTAATTAGGAAATAAATATTTTCCTCAAATCTATGTGCCATGATTATTGGCACCCTTTCATTTAATCATTTGTGCAGCCTCCCTTTGCAAAGATAACAGCTCTGAGCTTTCTCCTATAATGTTTAATGAGACTGAAGAACACACAGTAAGAGATCTGAGATCATTCCTCCATACAGAACCTCTCCACATCCTTCAGATTCCGAAGTTCACACCGTGGACTCTCCTCTTCAGCTCATCCCACAGGTTTTCTATGGTTTAGGTCAGGGGACTGGAGTGGCCATGGTCTGTGAACCATTTTTCTCTTGATTTTGAAGTGTGTTTTGGATCATTGTCCTGCTGGAAGGTCCAAACTATGGCCCAGTTTGAGCTTCCTGGCTAAGGCAGGATTTTTCTGCTGGTATTTGATGGAGTGTGCGATGCCATGTATCTGTATAAGCTGTCCAGGGCCTTTGGAAGAAAAACAGCCCCACAACATCACAGATCCACCACCATACTTCACACTGAGGATGAGCTACTTTTCTGCATGGCTATCTTTGTGTTTATGCCAAACTTACCTTTGGTGTTTGTTGCCAAAAAGCTCTATTTTGGTCTCATCTGACCAGAGAACATCGTCCCACTGAAAGTTCCAGTAATGTTTCGCAAACTGTAGGAGTTTCCTGACCTGACAGCAGAGACTTCCTTCTGGCCACCTCCAAACAACTTGTGGTTCTATAGGTGGTGTTTGACTGTGGTTTGGGAGACGTTCTGACCGCAAGATCTAACTAATGTCTGCAGCTCCCCATCTGTGATCCTTGGAGATTCTTTGTCCACTCGAACCCTCTTCCTCACTGTGTGTGGGGTCAGCACAAACATGCGTCCTCTTCCTGGCAGATTCTTAACATCTCCAGTTGCTTTAAACTTCTTAATTATTGACCTGTTAGTGGAAAAGAGTGTTTAGCTATTTTCTTCTAGCCATTTTCTGATTTGTGCAACCTTTTGTTGCACATCGCTGCTGTTCTCTCTGGTCTTTCTCGTCAACGATGGACGACTGAGGGAATTTGCTCGGTTTTTCATTTCATATATATTCCCCAGTGAATCAGGACATCATGGCTGACCATGTAAGTGTTCCTTTTAACTCAGTTGAAACATGAAATATAATTAGGAATATACTTTGGTTAGATTTCACCAAGAATTTCTAGGGGTGGCAATAACTGTGGCACACATAGATTTGAGAAAAATATTAATTTCATGACAAGATTTTTTTTTTCAATCATTATACCGTAAATACAGGTTTTATTTTTGGCAATATTTTAAAATGAAAGATCAAACGGATAAATAAGAATATTTTTTTACAGCTCATTTTGCTCATGATTACCAGGGGTGCCAATATTTGTAGAGGATATATAAAATCAGTATAAAATCAGTTTAGTGTTAAAAGAAGAACCATTCAAACAAAACCTGATGCAGCATCAATGCTGTACAATGAGCCGTGACTATAATTTAGCTATTCTAATTCAGACTGATGGTTAAATCTGCCTTCATGGATTCATTCATGACAAAATGGAAGACAGAGTGTGTCAGAATTAAAAAATGAATGGACTTCTTAAACAACTGCTTTCACAATAAAAGTCCCATATAATTCTACTGTAAAATGTAAGTTCACTTGATTCAGTTGAACACTAAAATATTTATTAAACACTATGTATCTATACTACTACTACTGTTATTACTACCCTGCTTTCAAAGAAGTTGGTACACTGTGCAAAATGTAAATAAAATACAGAATGGAATGATATGCACAAGATTTAAACTCTATATTTAATTGAAAATACTACAAAGACAACATATCAAATGTTGAAACTGAGAAAGTGTATTGTTTTTTGAAAAGTATATGCCCATTTTGAGTTTGATGCCAACAACACTTTTCCAAAAAAAGTTGGAGCATGTTTACTACAGTGTTACATCACATCTTATTTTACTCTGTGAAATGCTTTCCCATTCTTGCTTGATTTAAGCTGCTAAAGATGTTTAGCACCTGAACTCTTTTAATACGGAGCAATGCTGTTGTAATACCTGCAGAATGTGGTTTGTCATTGTCTTGCTGAAATAATCAAGGCCTTCCCTGAAAAAGACGTCGTCTGGATGGCAGCATATGTTGCCAAAACATGTAAATATCATTCAGCATTAATGGTGCCTTCACAGATGTGCACGTCACGCATGCCATGTGCACTAATGCACCCTCATAAAATTACGGATGCTAGCATTGTAACTGTGTGCTGACAAGCCGGATGGTCCCTCTCCTTTTTAGCCCAGACACAGTGTCCACGATTTCCAAAAAGAATTTCAAATTTTGATTTGTCAGACCTCTGGTCACTTTTCCTCTTTGCCTCAGTGCATCTTAAATCAGCTTGGGCCCAGAGAAGGCGGCAGAGTTTCTGAATCTGAATTTACGTCCTGGGAAGATGTCAAATCTGCCATAACTTTTGCATAGGCCACGTTTTATGTTTTATTTATTTTCCGTTATGTTAAATTTAGCTTTGTTAACAGTAATTGTGCATTGAAATGTGCAGAAGTGTGCTCTCTGTAGAGGATGTATTAACTTATTTTTGACCAAAACTTTCACGTGCTACTGTACATAGTTCAAATTCATACTTGAAAAACATATAAAATATGTATGGAACACACCTTGTTCCCTTGGATAAGACCTGTGGCTACTGACCATCAGGTAATTTGAGCTGGGGACCGCTCCTCTGACCAATCACACTTCCCAAAGAATGCTTCTTTGGCTGTTTTGATGAATCGAGGTATTTATAAACTCCAAAACGTCAACTGTTTTGTGTGAATAATGCAGGCCAATCCTGAACCATGTCACATTACTTGATTCACCAGAGCATTTTATCGAGAATACATCTTAGAATCACAGTACTATCAGTATAAAAACTCTCAATGTTATCGCAATACTAGTAAGTTTATGTGTATCGTGCAGCTCTGGGACCTGTAAATGGCTCGCAGTCGGTATGAGTCTGTGTATCTTGACTGCCAAGCTAAGGGCAGAGTTCATATTTTACACATTAGTCAGAGGCCAAGGCTCAGTTATGTGTGCAGATGGGACTGTCCAGACGTTCTCGCATAAAATCTCACATGATGAAAGTCAATTATAGGTCCGGCAGCTTGTCAAAGAAAGGAGAAGAAGATATGAATGTTTTGCTAATCCTAACCATCTCTGCTGTTTTTAAAGGGAAAAAGTCACACGTTAAAAATGAGATATCTTATATATCTTATGAGTCCAGTGGTTAGTTTCCATTTGTGTCTTTTTAATAGTCTGATGGGGTCAGACGTGATCTCATAACAGGAATGTCTGGGGACAATCGAGAAATTTGGGGGGAAATGTGAGTGGGAACGTAGACTTATTAGGGTGGGAAGAAGCTGAGTGTGATTTTGAAACCTAATCCAACGTAGGACCTCAAAGTAGACGTGACTGTGCGCTCGTCAGCGTCGTTCACCAAACAACAAGCCTGTTTCTATACCAGTGTAACACACACTAACACACCACCACCACATCAGTGTTACTGCAGTGCTGAGAATGATCCACCACCCAAATAGTACCTGCTCTGTGAGGGTCCATGGGGGTCCTGACCACTGAAGAACAGGGTAAAAGGGGGCTAACAAAGTATGCAGAGAAACAGATGGACTACAGTCTGTAACTGTAGAACTACAAAGTGCACCTATATAGTAAGTGGAGCTGATAAAATGGACAATAACTGTAGACACAAGGTAGGTGTACCTAATAAAGTGCTCAGTGAGTGTAATGTGTTCACTACCTCTTGCAAAAGAAAAGAACAGTCATGTTAGGTAACGTCAGCGTCTCGCTAGCTGGCTTGTTCTGCTGGTGTTTGTACTCCGGTGTGACGAAAATATCTGACTTTGTCAAAAGTTGTCAGGAGCTTCTCACAGGATCAGTTTCTCACAGAAGAACTGTAATATTAAAAATTAATGAAAAAGAAAAAATGGCAAGATGGAGAACAAGAGACCAAAGAAACCCACAAATGTGAGAATTTTCTCTGTTAAAAATTATGATAATCACTGTATTATCTTAGTTTAATGTCGTTTCAGTGTATTATGGTCGTTTTCTTCATAACAAGCATAAAAATTTGCTAATAGCATGCTAATGTCTCGGTAGCTGGCTAACTTTCCCGTTCCACCTTAAATAGCCCAGCAGTTCTGATGCCTGAAGTGCCAGAATGTAACTGCTGCACCATTTAAGGTAGAACGGGAAAATTCGAACAAGAAGCTGGTGAATATCTGACTTCAGCTTCATATCACTGAAGAATTAGGGGTGGGTGATAATAAATAATTGCCCCCTCTTTGAAAGCATATGATGCCCTAAATGTAACTAAAGCCCAGCAGTGAGGAGCTGAACTTTACCCTCCTCTGCTGTCACTGCAGACTGGCAGGGTCGCCTACAGAGCAGCGCTGGTAGCTGTTAATGAAGTAATGCTCTTTTTATCTGAGGGTCCCAATTCAGAGGAAGATTTCAACCACTACCCTGTAACTCATTTCCAAGAGGTTAGGGTGACACTCGAAAACAAGGGGTAGGGGTAAAAAGAAGAAATGGGCCTTAATGTGTCAACTTTTGACAGCGTCAGCTACTTTTGTTACAGCGTACTGGAGTCTAGTGGAAATAAGGTGGGGGATTTAAGGGGAGCATATCTTATTAACGGCACATGACAACATTTGATGTGTGAAATAGATCATCACTGTCAGAACAAAACCTTGATTCTCCATTTTTGACAGTGCCAGTTGGTCTTTATATTGTGTGAAAATTTTATGATGAATGGTCCAAAATTACTTGGAATCAAATGTTTTTACATTAACTTCAGTTATAAGACATTGTTTTTGCCTTATGGGTTAAAGTTACTAATTTGGAGATTTTCACCCTGAAAGACAAAATATATTTGTCTGTGGGTTGTTTTAGGAACACACACACACACACACACACACGCACACACACACCTTCTAAGCCGCTTATCCTTCTGGGTCGTGGGGGGAGCTGAAGCCTATCCCAGCAGTCATTGGGCGGAAGGCAGGAAACACCCTGTATAGGTCACCAGTCCATCGCAGGGCAGACAGACAGACATATACATTCACACACACTCACACCTAGGGGGCAATTCAGCATCTCCAATTAGCCTGACTGCATGTTTTTGGACTGTGGGAGGAAACCCACACAGACACAGGGAGAACATGCAAACTCCACACAGAAAGGACCCTGGTCTGTTTTAGGAATAGGTACCTATAAAGTTTTAGTAAAGTTTTAGACTGTATACCTGACATGTTGTCTCATTTGTACACTATTAAGATAAAGCCAAGTAATATTTCAGCTTCATTACTAATTATTTCTCAAAAATGTATTTGTTTTTGACATGTTTTCATCTTAATATTCACATTTGTGCATATATTTGAGTAACATGTTTGCATATATTCTAAAAAAAGATACTTTTAATCATTTAAGAATACCAAATTCAATGTATTATTAAAATCTGGCATCATACAATCCAATCTGACGCACACTGCTGCATCATTCTAACCTAATTTGGTGTTTTTTTGAGTTCTTCTCTGTACTTACTGATATCTCTATCTTTAGAGCAGCACTTATCAGGTTACCCCAGTTCACAGCTTCACAGCTTTGTTTTCTTCACTGTACTTTCTACACTACTTACATAACAGACATGTGAGTACTGTATTTAAAGGTAACTCAAGAGTTGCCCAACTGCAGGGCTGGAGTCCAGAAGACTTCACAATGCACCTAACAGCCTTGTGATAGTTCAGCAGGAAACCAAATCTACACCATTTTCTCCTTAAAACATTTAGCTGTCTATCACAGCATACTGGAGTTTAAATTAAATAATGAATACTGAATATAAGCTGCAAAAAAGTACAGACTTTTAGCTTTAATTTGAGAGTCTCTTAATCCAAATTGGGTGAATGGTGTAGAAATTACAACCATCTTCATATATAGCATCTCCCCCATCCCATTCTTGTCCAAAAAAATTATTTTTCATTTCATAATGCACCAAATGTTTTCAGTGGTGACAAGTCTGGACTGCAGGCAGGTCAGTTTAGCACCCGGACTCTTTTAATACGGAGCAATGCTGCTGTAATACATGCAGAATGTGGTTTGTCATTGTCTTGCTGAAATAACCGAAGCCTTCCATGAAAAAGACGTCGTCTGGATGGCAGCATATGTTGCCAAAACATGTATATATCATTCACCATTAATGGTGCCTTCACAGATGAGCACGTCACCCATGCCATGTGCACTAATGCCCCCTCATAAAATCACGGATGCTGGCATTGTAAACATAAATATACATTTAGATAAATTAAATGACATAAAGAAAACAAATGCCAAATGAATATTATAAAATATATAATGAAAGTTGTTGTCCCCAGGAGTCGTGTCACTGGTGTTACTGTGTAACAAAAAATCTCTTATTTTGAAATAAAAGTCACACTGATGACATCACTCGACTTCCTTTTACCTGTTTTCTGAGGATCTATGAAGAAAAGCACATGGTGAGTCCACTGTGTCTTTCAGTTATCAGAGATTTTCTCATTTAGCTCATGATTTCATACAAGCTTTTAGCTGACGTCACTGGTGTGACCGACTTTATTCTAAGGTAACTGTGAAAAAATAGGATACAAATGGATTAAATTCCATATTTTAGTGGATATTCAATGATTTCATGACATTAAATTAAAAAAAGGCACCGGTGTTACTGTCTCTGGT